GGTACAACTCTAATGAGACCTAATGAATACCACTAAAGGCTACCCACTTAAGAGCATAACTTCTCTAGTTTGCCCAGTAGTGTCTTCACACCTGGGCTATGCCTTTAAACTAGGCAGAGTTTGATCTTTAACAGAAAAAAAAACAAAACAAAACACAACCATAAAACAGTTTACAGTGAAGACTTCATAATGAATCCAGACAGGAATGAAAATGGGGGGTCGAGTGGGAATATCAGTATACCACCAAATGTTATTTACACTTCAGTTTCCTAATTCATTGTTTCCACTGGTATTAATCCAGACTCTTAGAACATTTTCATTAACCTTCCTCACAGAGGGATCAATTCCAATATTCTTTACAGATGGTTATTCAGGCTCAACTTGAGCTCTAATTATATACCTACATGCTTCAAAAGTCACCTATTTATATCCTTGGAAAGCTAGTCTTAGAAGATAGGCTGATCCTACCTTTGAAGTTCCCATCTAGTATAGAATAGTTCTTTAGAATCACAGACTTTGAGCCTTTGTTTAAGCTCTATGATGCTAATCAAGTTAACTAGCCTCTCTGGCCCTCAATGCTTATCATTAACCTCACTCAATATTGGTAGTACATAACATGTAGTTTGCCTAACATAGCACCTACCTGATGATATCAGGCACTCATATGGTAGCCATATTCCTATTGCTACTTTTTCTGAAATAGCCTAGTCTTTCTTTACTTCCTAAGATAGATTATTTAAATATTAGACATGACCTATTGTGTTCCCCTTGCTAAAACTTTTATTGTATTTTTTATTGATGTTAGACAGAGAGGGAGAAACATCAATGATGAGAATCATTGATCAGCTGCCTCCTGTACACCCCCTATTGGGGATGCAGCTGGCAACCCAGGCTTATGCCCTGAACTGGAATCAAACCCTGACCTGGTTCATGGGTCGATGGGAACCACACCAGCTGGGCCCCTTCCTAAAATTTTTTATCTCAATTCTTTAAACGATTTTCTTTTGTGACAGCATTTAAATCAGCACTGTCCAACAGAGCTTTCTGTGATGTTTTATATCTGACTGACAATGTTAGCTATGAGCCATTGAGCATCTGAAATATGACTAATGCAAATGAATAACTTGTAAACTTTAAGGTTTAAGCCACATGTGGCTAAAGGTTACAGTATTTGGACAGCACCTATCTAGACCAATACTTTTCTGATGAAACAAGCCAATTGTACCAAACAAAATATTAAGTGATATCACAGATCGTATTCACAAGTATCTTAACTATTCCTTCCAAATACTGTATTAGTGACAACGGTTGTGATGTTATCCTACTTAAAATTATATATTAAAAAAGGAGAACATAGTCTATCATCTAGAAGGAGCACCTTCATGAAATAGGCTTTCAGTATCTCTAAAGAAAGCAATGCAACTGAAGATTCTTTAAGTGAAATTTTAAAATTACATTTTCAATTTTTCAGAAAGCAGATGATTTATCTTTAACAGGTATTTAAAAGGAAAAAAAGTTACCTATTCTACAAGCTAAAATATCAAGATAAAGCTCTGACCCCAAATTATGTATTTCATCTGCATTCTGTCACTTTTATTTAAAGCAGAGTTCTACCTGTCACAGTGAAAACAAGGATTAAAAGTTATTGCTAACTTCAAAAACAAGAACGCCAAAGTACTAAATTAGACTTCTTAAAAAGCAGAGAAGGGTATAATCAATTTGGATAACTTAAAACCCACTGATGCAACTAAATTAGTGCAAACTGTTTCCTTACATATCCTTAAACATTCCCATAGTATTTATTCCCAGGCATACCATCTATAATAATAAAAGCATAATATGCTAATTAGACCGGATGTTCTTCCGGATGAAGGCGGGGCTGCAAGGGAAACTTGGGTTCCAGGTGCCAGAGGGAAGATGGTGCCGGAGGCTGGGGGAAGGAAGACCTACTCTTGCACAAATTTCGTGCATCGGGCCTCTAGTCTATAAATAAATAGAATTCACAACAGCTTCAGAATCTCTTTCTAATATGTCCTTTATATCATGTATTTCTTAAATCATCTTTTCAATTAATAAAATGGACAAGATAAGCCAAAAAGCATGTTATTTCAAATCTTGCTATAAATCTACCTTACCAAAATTTTTGGTCAGGGGGAATATGACATATGAATCTGCATTATAATTTAAGGAAAGTCATTTGTAGCCAAGACCTAAAGAACACTGCCTCAGTCAGGAAAATCGTTTTCAATAGTTCAGTGACAGCAAAATATTTTAATTTGTCTTTTACAATTTACAGTTATTTGGCTCTAAAAAGAAAGGATTCATATATTATACTTAATATAAATTTGTAATATAAATTTAGTGTACTATAAGTACACTGAAATCCAGAGGGGGAGGTCTAGGAAGCTGACCTCAATGAGTATTTAATAGGAAAGATACAGAATTTGGAGGCACATTCTAAAGGAAGTAGGCTCACCAATAAAATTCATCTGAATATTAGCAGAAATACACAAATGCTCAAAACACCATTTGTAACTGCATCTATGCATACCAACATCTTAGATGGTAAAACTAGCATAACTAAAAACTGAGCAAAACATTCTCATCAAAACAAGTAATTTTGGCTCAGTAAAATTTTAAAAATTATTAAAGCCTGTTGTATACTGGCTTCTTTTAAAAAAAACTCGGAGAAACAGCTGAGTAAGAAATCCTGAATGCACAAATTGGGGAAAAGTAAAAAAATAGGAATAAAAACACTACTGTCAGTAACCAAAGCAATGAGAAAGGAGTTAGTGAGCAACTTTCTATATCTTAAAAAAAGTTTTTCTCTAATTTTACATTATGTTCCTAATGATAAAGCTTCTTTTTGAGTCAAATTTAAAATACCTCCAGATTAATTCTTCTTCACTTTAAAATAAATGACCATTTGTAGTCTAGATCAGAGCTCAGTCGGATAAGACCACAGGGAGTAACTGGTGAAGAGAGTATTGAGGTATTAAAGTTCAAATGTGTGAAATATACTGTGCTTGCCAAACAAAACATCCTTCAAGTTTCTAATGAAAAACCTCCCCCTTTTTGATTCCTGGCTTAAGTGGTTAACTATCCAGGTTGTGAAGAAAAAACACAGTAAAATATAAAAATAAACATTTGGGAGGGTCTCAAAACTTTGTATTGATAATGTGTCTGGGGAAAAAACTAAAAACTTAAAAATATACTACTACCTCGTTATCAGATTGTTTAACTTAAAAACCTAAGTTAGTAAGACGTTAAACTAAACCTTCAAAATGCTAAACTTGGTAATCACATCTTTTAAAAAATAATTACTCATTAAAAGTGAATTATTCACTGTGTTCCATTAAAGCAGAATAGTTGATGCCTAATCATTGGTTGTAGAATTACAATCAGCTGTACTGTTGGTACTGTAAAAACACCTATTAGTCACTTTAGAAGCTACTGGGAATAGTCTGCTGCCAGGCATAACAGACACTGAATACACTTAGAATATAAGAAACTGAGTGGATTTAATAGGTTTTGTATAATACTAAATAATAAACTGTATAGTAGTTATAGTAAATTATTCTGGAAAGAAATAAAAGCTAATGTCCTGCCATTTCCCACGTCTATCATCTGCATACTTCCCAAATGTAAGATAAGATAGCATAGCTAGGTCTAGACCAGGTAAAAGAATGTATTAACACAATCCAACAAAAATGAAATAAAACAATCCAGAGTTTTGAGTGTTTTTTTCACACTGTAATAAACTGGAGAAATGTTTCGATTAAATAAAACCCCATATTCCATGAAAAAAGCCACTCCCATCATCCAGAATACTAAAGCCCTTACATAACACTAGAGAAATTTTAATTAAATGAAACAGTAGAAACTAGTATACCATTCATTAGAAAACTCAAAATATTCAAAAAATTTTGTCAAGTACTCAGAGAAAGCGCAAGAAGCCAAAACCTCAGAATCCACACATCCTGATATTATACCCTGAATTGCAATTAACTACCCAAACATTTTATCATAAGTCAACTTTTTCAAAGATATACAGACAATGCTTCTATTTAAAAAAATTACTCTTTATAGTTAAGGACTTGACATTAACTTTCATATTCTACTTGGCAAGATCTGTCTGTACTTCAGATTATCTTTCATGTTCCAGGAAATACAAACTCATGATATGCCTGTGATCTCTGATGGCTTGTTTATAAATTCTACTCCACTAAACATAATTCCATAGAATGTGCTCTTGATTATGTAAAGAATCTAATACTCCTTGCTGAAATACTATAATCTCTTCTCCAATAGTTGCAATTTTTAAAAAGGTATTCGAAGAACTGAGTATCATTCCTTTGAAAGACCAAAAAAAAGTATAATTTTGTTCCAAAATCAACTTAGTCTCATGTATTTCTATTAAGTCTTTCAAGGATTCCAGAGAATCTTTTCAAATCTCCATTTCTGGAAAGTGAAACCACTATAGCAGTAATTTGGGAACTTGAAAATGGCATTCATTTTTTTCAGCAGATGCCAAATTTTTGACAGACATGGCTCCCACAACTACTTTGTTACCATCAGTCCAGTCAGTTAACAGGTTGTAGGAAAAGATTCGCTTTTGCAGACACTGCTAAGCTGTTCAAAGAGAAGAGAGAGAGATTAATTTAGTGATTATAAAATGTACAAATATTTAAAATATTTTGAACACTTTTTGTCGGCTTCTATCAGAGGTGTGACTAGATTTTAACAAACACGGACATTTTAGTTAAGTCAGGTCAAGGAAGTACAGAAACAGTAGTCAATATGATAGAAATAGTAGGTCAATATGATGTTAGTTCAGTTAATGTATGAATTCCTGTCACCATCAGAAGACAAATATTAAAAAGCGACATCTGTAGTCTAGTTCTGTATCATTTTGCCATAGAGGCAAAATTCAGAGGGAAAAAAAAGATTGCCCAAATGCTATTTTCATCCATTACAGTAAATAAAACCAAACCGGAAAATTTCAAAACAATCCATATATTCCAGAAATCTTTATACAACTATTATTCACCAGAACACAATTTTCTAAAAATAGTAAGACAACAGTTTCATATTAATCATAACTTTTTTAATTAACAAATAGTGAATAGGACACTTTTAAGATATTGTTTACTACATACTGAAATAAACAGATCTGTTTAAATTCAGAAACTCAAGACATTTACAGTAAAATGTGTTTATACATAAATATGACCAAATTTATTTAAAGCCCCTATTAGACAGGTCCTAAATACATGCAATACCATGTAAAACAAGACTATGAAGTTGATGCAAAAAATGACAAAAATCACTGAGTCACCAAAATTAGAGGGAAAAAAAAATGAAATGGAAACTAAGAAAAGACAATTAAAACATAAGTAACCTAACAAAGCAGCTTTAAAAATAGGTGATACTAATCTCCACTTTCAAAAGTTCTTAATCAAGTATTTTCAAAAACTGCCATTTATAAAATGACATTCTAAAAATCTACACTTGGAATTTCAAAACATCCCAATTCAGAAAGCTTTTGACTACTGTTTTCCCCAACCCCAACTTCAAATAATGCAGGAAAAGCACTGATGTTAGGAAGAAAATATTCCAAGGAATGGTATAATTTTTAGAAAAACGCACTTACTGCTTCCAGAACCTTTAAGACCCACAGTCAGCATTAACAATCATTTTTCCTATTCTCATCCATTATTTTTCAATGTCATATTAGAGATGAAAAAATTCTTTGAGCCCATAACTGAAAGATCAACAAACCTGGTTTTATTATGACACCATATTTTTGTCATTGGTACTGCACAAAATTATATACAAAGAAATATATACAAAATGTTCAAGTATTAATTAAATTTCAATTCAAGACTTCTGTTTCAAAAATCTACATTTAACATATTTCATAATGATAGCACAAATTAGTCATTTTAAATAATTTCCCAACTACTTTTGGTTTATATATATATATGTTTATGTATAATTCAGTAGGCACTAAAAATCCATGCAGCTGCATCGTGAGGGGCTTGCTCCTGCACTTACATATAAGCAGATTCATAACTCCAGGCTGTGAGTTTGGCTACTACCCATTCATGCTCAAGTGCAGTAGATGGTTTTACAAAATTGCTGTGATGCACTGGAAACCAGAGACCGTTAAGTCTCAACTAGTATTATCTAGAAACAAAACATTTACAGTTGTGCAAGAACAAGAATTCCATTTTCATAACCAAATAACAACAAAATAAAACATTTTGTGTGTAAGATAACTTACATCTTTGGACTGCTGGAATAACTTTTAATTATGAACATTTTAAAAGAAAAGACAGCAGAAGCCCTGATATTACCTCTTTTCCTCATTTCTTATACTACCTTTTAAAATAAAGCAGGAAATGTGGCCAGCAGCTGGTCCCGTCTCTTCTGCCCCAACAGCTGTATCCACTTTAGCACAAAGAAAAACAAGGATGCTAAATAGGTATATACTTTATCAAACAGTGATGTTTCACAAAGAATTTTTCTTTCTTTCTTTCTTTTTTTAACAAAGAATTTCTTAATGCCAGTTACACTGAAGGCCACCATAACTCAATTTATACAATTGGACAATAGACAATAGAGAACTTCAAGGGAAGAATATATCCCATCTTTGGAAAAAGTGTCAATCGTGTCATTAAGTAGTCAGCAACACTCAATTTTTAAAATACCTTTGAAATATGGAAAATAAGATTCTTTGTGAAGCCTCACTTTACATGTTTTCATTCACATTTCACAACCTTCAAAATCGAATCATACATAAATTTAACCTAAAATTTTAATACAACAAAAATAAAGGTGTTCAACAATTTATTCATACTCAGTGATAGGGTCATCACTGTGCTGGTCTTCAAAGAAGCATTTCATTAACCATTCTTAGTCCTCCTTCAATTAGCTAACACAGGAGTCTGATATGCATGTTAATTTCCAACTTCTCTAATAGTGAGATATTAGAATCTGTTAGCCTGAATATTGTAGTTCTAGGTCTCCTACTTAAAACTAAAAGGCATTACTGAATATTTAAGAGTTATTTTGTTGTCACCTCCAGCAAAATAACTATCACCTTTGAGCATGCCCCCAACACTTATTGGTCAACCTCTGCAAAGTTGCTCTAATACTGGAATTCCAATTTGCACCTTGTACAACTCGGAACTTCCATTCAACTTCACCTGTTTCACTGTCTCCAAACTGTATCTCTATTAGCAGCTTTCAGTGTACAGTTGGAATCGATGTCCTCCAAGGCCATGTCCACACTGGGGACAGAAGAGCTAGGTACACGCAAGTCTGAACAAGGGGACACAGTAACAGCTATTTCAACCAGTAAGAAGCATCTTAAATACAGTACTGACCAGCACAAGTCTGTTTCCAGGGTGGACAGGGCCCAAATTACACTCCCCTCCCGCCTTCCAAAAAAAAAAAAGATTTAAAAAATTTTAAAAAAAACCACACGCACACACAAAATTGAGATGTTGCCCATTAAAGTAGACTAAGCAGCAGAGCATGAGCGGTACGTGAAGAGATGGAACCTTACCAGGTGGTGAGGCGGGAACCACTGTTCTGTAACCCCTACAACGGAGCCTGGCAGGAAGGAAATCACCTAAAAAAGAAACTGTCAGAGAGATTTAATAGTCACATGTTATCATTGGGAGTTGGTTACAGTGTCACATTCATGCTTTTAGCTAAACACTTAAAAGACTCAATATTACTTTTTTTTTTCCTCTCCACCTGAAATGTGTCCAGTGACGATGTCCCACTAAGGAGTTTGACATGGTGTTAAGGGAGCTGAGAGGGGGAAACGCGGGTAAAGAGCAGATTACTTGACCCTACATTTTCAGAGAAGACGACGCCTTCCGGGCGCACGCCGAGCAGAACTCCACCGACACCTTATCCTTGTCCACATGGAGGCACACTCCTCCCGCCGCGTCGTCCTCTTCCAGCAGGTCCTGCGGCGGCTGCTTCCCCACCGGCAGCGCGTAGTCGTGGTCCCCGGCGGGCGCGTCCCTGAAGAGCGAGGTGGT